ATGCCACCCCCTGATAACCAACTCAAGAGACAGGACCTATCACCAATGCCTCACGCTTACGACGAAGATGATCACATGGGGATAATAAAACCTCATACCAAAGATGTGCCCAATAGCAGAGAAGTCAGAGAGTATATTCGCGTGTTCCATCAGCCACCAATCACACCCCGACAGAGTTCCAGAACTCTCCGTGAAGCTTCTCGGGAAGGTGAGCTCCACTCTCATCATAGCGGCACAGATCTCAAGCTTCATCTTAAAGAAGACATATACAGCTTGGGTGCCGGCACATCCGATGATGTAGTAGATTTCTCTACTCAGTACAACGAGAGACAAGGCGCCGGGCTTCTAGGCTCCAGAGAATCCCCCCAAAGCCGTGACCGGAATACCACAGCTATAAAGCCTAGAGCATCCCAGAGGCAAGCGCCAACTCATGAGGTTCGCGGCATCAGCCTTCGAAGACGGTCTCACGTCAGTCTCAGAGATGGGCAGCGGTTCAGTCTTACCAGATCCGTGAAGAGACACCCTACTATCGCTCGCGACTGGTCTCCCGTCCGCAAGAGATTCGTTGCTTCCATTGCATGCATCAGCACCGCCTTGATCGGTGTCCTAGTTGGAATCTATGCAGGTTTAGTTCCGTCAATTCAGTACTATATTGCCGACTTCCATCACTACTCGATCCTTGGCAACGTCGGGCTGTATCTTGGGATGGCTCTCTCAACATTCTTCTGCTGGCCATTGCCTTTGCTACATGGCCGCAAAACGTACATCGTGTGCAGTCTATGTATAGCCATGCCACTGCTCTTTCCACAAGCCATCGCAATCAGTACTCCTAGATCTCCATATACTAGCGTGTGGAGATGGGCACTGCTTCTTCCCAGGGCCATCATGGGCTGTGCTTTAGGGTTTGCCAGTATGAATTTTCATTCTATATTGACAGATCTGTATGGCGCATCTTTGATGAGCAGCAAGCCGCATCAGGAGGTCGTTGACTATCACGATGTAAGGAGACATGGGGGTGGGCTCGGTGTCTGGCTCGGTATCTGGACATGGTGCTTTATCGGCTCACTAGGCATCGGTTTTTTGGTTGGTGCTCTAGTAATTGACAGCTTGAAACCATCGTGGGGACTCTACATCAGCATCATTCTGATCGCAGTCGTCCTGTTTCTTAATGCTGTGTGCCCTGAGGTCCGACGGTCTGCATGGAGATATTCTGCAGCTGAAGTCAGGGCGGGTACAAGAGTGTCCAGAAGAGTAGGCCGCGGCGAGATTATGATGCACCGAGTCAAGGATGGTCCAAAATGGTGGTATCAGGAGATGTACCATGGAGTTGCCCTTTCTCTCGAAATGCTTCGTCAGCCTGGTTTCGTGGTTATGGCCGTGTATTCTGCATGGATATACGCTCAGGTCGTTCTAATTATTGTGGTAAGTTATTAGTCTATCCCTTATGAACTTGCGACCATCGCTAACAACAAGCACAGCTTCTCGGGTCTCTGTCTTCGAGACACTACCACTATCGCTCTCCCTTCGTAGGCGCTGCGGTATCGTCGGTAGCGATCGGTGCACTAGCAGCTGTGCCATTCCAAAAAGCGAATATCTTCTCTCGATCTCGCTCCGAAGGTCCAACGACGAACGATATGACCTTTGATAGAAAGGTGACATGGACCTCCCACCTTATCCGACGAGCTATTTTCGTAATCGTGCTCCCGATTGCAGGTATTTTGTACACTATCCTCTCCTCCGGGCCGCCTGTTCACCTCGTCTTCCCTTGTTTTTTTGCCGCCGTAATTGGCTTTTTGTCATGCCTTGCCATAGCCGAGTGCAATGGCATGCTCATGGAGGCATGGGATTGCTCCGATCTGCAGCCAGGCATGACTGGTCACTCCACATCAGAAAAGGACGGCGAAAAGCGCATCAATTACTCGTCTTTCCCTCGGGTGACAGCTGGATGGAACATTATCCACAGCATTGGTTTCATTTTTGCTGCAGGAGCGACAGGTATTGGTGGCATGGTTACACGAAGCCTGGGGCAGAGAGCCGCGACGGGGATGGTGGCGTCCATCTTGTTCATACATTCTCTTCTACTTCTGGGCGTGTTTGCTCGGTTTCGAAGAGTGCAAATTATACCGAATTCGAAGAGCATGGAAATGGACAGGTGGACGGCAGAACGGCGAGACAGTCTCCGCCGTCGCGCCTCCGCAATTGCGGCCGCCAAAGCCAACGGTCTTAAAGACGTTTCCGAAATTCCCGAAGAGGACGTAGGCTAGAGGCCACTCATTCTTGGCAACCCGACAGAAAAGTTCCGTCGCATGAATATTCTTGAGTTGGGTTCTTTGACGCGTTGGAGCGAGATCCGCAAGAAGAACCGCCTGATTGATGAAGGCGTTCACCTTAATCGCCAGACAGTTGGCCTAGCTCGTGAGGAGATTGGGCGGCGAGGTAATGAGTTCATGGGCGACATTCATCAGAGTGCGGAGATGTTTGGCGACATTGTCCGCAAAGTAAGTAAGAGGAGTCTAAGGAGTATGAGGAGCCAACGCAGTCACGATAGCGACCAAGGTGGCCCCGTCGAACTTGAAGATATCGGTCCACTGGGTCCACCAGGAGCTGGACTAGAGCACCATCATACTGTCTTGCCCCGTGAGGTGTATCATGAGCGCGAATGCGTCATGGGAAAGAGCGTACCAGAGGAAGCAGAAGAACTTTCGTCCATGGATGGCGGGTCGGATGATGACTACGGATGGAGCCACACACAAGAACACTCATCTCATATGACGCCCAAAGTTCAGCCCTACACTGGCTTCGAGAAACAAAAACTTCGAGGCTCCAGGCTTAGTACAGGGGACTATGCGATCGATATGGACGCATCTCTAGGTGAGCATGCTTCTCATATGGAAGCTAAGATAAAGCCTGCCGACATGGAATCGGGGAATCCAGCGCAAGAATTCGAGGATGTTGACCTAGGTGGGAAGTCTGATCGTCGAGGTTCGAAAACAACGAAGCAAGACTGAAGAGGGGTTCAATCAAGTAAGGGGATCGTTGTATGTATTGTTCCGCAGAAAAGGTACCTAGAGACTGGAAGTACCTGTAATCCTAGAATTGAAATAATCCCTATTTGCACTAAATCCCGAACAATACCGTCGCTCAGAAACGCCGAGTAGTAAAATGAGGTTCATGGGTTTGAAGAAAATTGGTGAGACACTTACCCCCACAACTACTCCGGTAGGAACACCCCTCTATCTCGATATCCTCGGATAGCGCGGACGGCAAGAAGCAACACCGGTGCTTCCTAAAGGTAAGTCGTTAGCTTGGAGGCGCATACAATCAACGAAAATACATAGATGGAAAGTGTAAAAAATAATAATAATAAAGCATGCTCTTGTTCAATCAATCTTTTAGCCCTGATGTAAGCAATTCGTGTACATACACCCCAATTAGTCCTTCGGGGATAATAATAATAACCCTACGTCATCGGCGCAATTCGGATTGCCCCAACTGAGGAAATTCACTTGAATTTCAAATGCGTATTATTCCGTCATCTCAACCTTACGCTAGGTAAACAAGATGAAGCTCTACGCTATCGGGGACCTCCACCTTGGCTACGAGTACAACAGAAAAGCCATCCAGGAATTAAGACCACACTATGAAGACGGCTTGATCTTAGTTGGTGATGTGGGCGAGTCAGAGGCGCACTTGGACCTCACGTTCGAGCTTGCCAAGCGCAACTTCCGAGAGGTGTTCTGGTGCCCGGGCAACCACGAGCTGTACACGCTGCAGTCATCTCGCCCGGACCTGAGAGGCGTAGCCAAGTACCAGTTCTGCGTCGACATCGCGCGCCGCCACGGCGTGCACACACCTGAGGATCCGTTCTTCCGGTGGGAAGGCGAGGGCGGACCGGTGCTCATCGCCCTGCTGTTCACCCTCTACGACTACAGCTTCCGCCCGCCACACGTCACCCGCGAGGGCGCGCTGCGCTGGGCCGAGGAGACGGACACCGTAGCCACGGACGAGTTCCTACTACACCCGGATCCGCACCCGTCGCGCGACGCGTGGTGCCGCGAGCTCGTGGCCAAGGCGGAGCGCCGGCTCGAGACGGAAAACCCCGAGGGCCTGCCGCTCGTGCTCGTGAACCACTGGCCGCTGCGCGAGGACCTCGTGTACATACCCAAGGTGCCGCGGTTCAGCCTCTGGTGCGGCACCAAGGCGACGGAGGACTGGCACACCAGGTTCGGCGCCAAGGTGGTGGTGTCGGGACACCTGCACGTGCCGCGTACCGATTGGAAGGCGGGCGTGCGCTTCGAGGAGTGCAGCTTAGGATACCCCAGGCAGTGGCAGGACGTGGCCGCCGTCGGGAAGGACATCAACGACATAATCCGCGAGATCCTACCCGGCCCCCCTCCACCACCGGGCGGCGAGGCCGACATGAGGTGGCGACGATGGGGTTGATGTTTTCGTCGAGGGTGTGGCAATAGGATTCAGTGAGGAGGCAGACAGTGTTAGATGACCTTGAGTCGGATAGTGCGTTAGGGGGTAGACATGAGCCATGAAGTTGGGAATAATGGTCACGAAGAAAAGGTCTAGCTAGAGTCGCATGAAGTCACGCAATGGTTTTCCTTACGCTATAATTGCATACGCATATAGAGGGACAGTTGATCCCGGCTAGGTGTAGAACGTCAGGCTGTTCGCATTGCATCTTCTTTTCCTCATCCCTCTTCGTGAGTCCCAATCTCAGGTTCTCGGATTTCCCACTTGTATGTACTCACCTTATTACGCTACGAGTCGCACTCCGGATTTAGCGCACTTATGTCTTAAGTGAAACATACTATATTGATATCTCTTGCGCTTAATCATCTCGTTGAAGTTCTAGCTGCTTACACCGACATTCTCTAATTTGTCATGGCCTGGTCCCGAATGCCAACCGGTGGACCATCTAGGTCTAAGTACCCTAATTAGCCCGCACCTCAACCACACCGCCTCATTGCAAGACATCGCAGGTGTTAGTGTCCTCCGTAGCTCAATTGGTCAGAGCGTCTGACTGTTACGCTCGACGATCGACGATCCTTCGCAACGAAGCCATCGTCAGTGCCTAGATACCTAGCTAGCAATCAGGAGGTTGACAGTTCAATCCTGTCCGGGGGAGACGTCCTGTCTCACGTGAGATATCTATATACTTCGCTCTCTTTTTCTTACTCTATTCCTCTCATACTTGCTGAGGTAGAGGTAGACCATCACATTTGGAAGATTGTTCTTTCTTCTCCTCTCCATGTTGTACATAGGCACATAATCTACCTATCTAAAGAAAAAAATTTAAGACAGACACATAGGTAGGTGAAGTATCAGTTATCCCTCTTTCCGCTAGTCACAGCCAGAGGAGATGCACTTAGATGTTATGTCACTTTGTGTGTTGACTGGATGATGTATGTTACGCTCCCAGCTCACGAATTTTCGTTTAGCAGTCCAATTCAATTCAAGCCGGCATTTCAGATCACACGAAAAGCGAATAGTAAATTAATTTAAGGTACCGTAAGGAAGAGTTTATATATTTCTCGTATCCTAAAAACCCACACCCAGTGGATCAATCTAGCATTGAGCCTACATAGCCCGACTAGCTCATCGGTAGAGCGCCTCACTAGTAATAGCAGCCCCTTCCTGGGGAAATTTACATTGCAATGAGGAGGCAACAGGTTCGATTCCTGTGTTGGGCAAATTTTTCTTCTTTTTTTGTCCTCGGTTTGTTTTTAACAGTGTGCCAAGATCTATAGTAAATATATCTCGATGATGATGCGCTTAGCGAGCGCAGGAGGTATGAAAAACGGCGAACATATGAAGTATATGGAAGACGGCAATATTGCTACGATGCTGTTTCGAGCCATGATCATCTCGTGCAAGTGGCAGTAGGACTTTGGGGGCGCAATCTATCAGCTCTATTCTCAATACATCCTGTGTAAAGCCACGGAGGGTCTTGATGAACTCATCCTTTTTAGCTTTTAACCCCAAGCCTTGCCGTTGCCAATGTGTCGGTCTTTATTTTAGATGTTGCATCTTTGCGAAGTCTATTGTCCTCCTACTTCGAGTTAAGAAAAGTGCATATCTTTATCATAGCAGAAGCTAGGTAGGCTTCCATTGTCAGACCAACCATAACATGCTACAACCCCGACTCCTTAGCCAGAGCCTTCTCATCATCATTCCCATATCTCTCCGAGACGATACATATACTGATGACTCTTCTAAAGATGGTGGTTGAGACAATCCTTCAATACTAAAGGTATACCTCTTAATCCTGAGAGACATGAGTATTCTGCCTCGTCATGTTTCGTACCAGTCTGTTGGATCCAGGGAGCAAGTTTGGCAGCCACTGATATATATTGGTATGTCTCAAGAAGTCAGGGTTCTGGTGTCGGCTTGTCACGTCTATCCGTACAGATGAGTTTCGAAACTTTCATGAGAAATACTCTTTCTTAAATGTGAAGGTTGGATAATTTACCCAACCCCCTTGCTCCTAGCATGGTCACTATAGTTGAGACTGTACGACATATGTTGGCTGTTTCTTAAGTACATAAGAACTTAATATTCTAGTTTTTTCCTTGCATAAAAATCTACTTATATATAATTAATATTATAAAAATATTATAATATAAAGTATCATAAATTTTAAAAATTAAATATAAAATTTTTATTAAATATAAAAATTTAAATTTTATATATAATATTTTTAAAAAAAAAATATTTTTTTATATATTTTTTTAATTATTTATATAATATTTAAAATAAAATTTTAAATATTATTTAATATTTTATTTAAATAATTTTAATTTTATAATATATTTTTTAAATAAATTATAATTTTATAATAAAATTATATATATATATAATTATTATTTAATTTATTTTTTAAAAAATTAAATAAAAAAAAAATATATATAATTAAAAATTTAAATTATATAATAAATAAATAAATATAAAATTTTTAAAATTTTTTTATATAAAATTTATAAATAATTTTTATTTTTATATTAAAAATATTATAAAAATATTTATTTAAAATAATTAATTATTATTATAATAATTTTATTTTTTAAATTATTATAAAAAATTTTTTAAAAATTTTTTTATTTATTTATATATATAATTTTTTTTATTTTTAAAAATTTATTAAAAATTTTTTTTTTATTATAAAATAATTAAATTTTAATTTTTTTTTATAAAATTTTAAATTTTTTTATTATTTTTTTTTATAAAAATTATTATATTAATTATTTAATAATAATATTTTTTTATAAAATTTTTAAAATAATATATAAATATATTTATATAATTTATAAAATTTATTTTTAATAATTTATTATTATTAATTATTTTATATTAATAATTTTATTTTTTAATAATATATTTATTTTTTTTATTAATAATTTTAATTTTTAATTAATTAATTAAATTTTTTAAATAATTTTAATAATAATAAATTATTTAATATTTATTTTTTTAATAAATTTATTATAAATATTAAATTTAATAATTTATAAATTTTATTAATAATATTTATATATAAATAATTTTTTTTTATAAAAATAAAATTTTAAAAAAATCTTTATAAATATTATTTTTTTAATATTTTTTATAATTATTTTTTTAAAAAATATTATAATATAAAAAATATTAATAAATATTATTAAAAATATTTATTTAATTATTTATATATATTTATATAAATTTTTAATAATTTTTTATTTAAATTATTTTAATTAATAAATTTTTAATTTTATAATAATTTTATTTTTTATATATTATTATTTATTTTAATATTATATTAAAAAATTTAATATAAATTTTTTTTTATATTTTTTTTAAATAAATTTTATTTAATATTAATTTTTAAAAAAAATTAAATTATTTAATTTATTAAATTAATATAATTTTATAAATTTTAAATTTTTTTAATAATAAAAATAAAAATAAAAATATAATAATATTTTTAAATTTTAAAAATTAATATTTTAATTTTAAATAATATTAAAATAATAATAATAATAATAATAAATTTTTTTTATATTTTTTTTTAAATACCGGGGTTAATATAATTTTATTATTATTTAAATATTTATAATTTATTATTTAATTTTTTTATTTTTAAATTATTTATTTATTAAAATTTTTAAAAATTTAATATTAATATATTTAAAAATTTTTTTTAAATTATTTATTTATTAAAATTTTTAAATAATTATAATATTAATTATATTATATATTTATAATAAAAAAATATAAATTTTATTAAAATTTATTTTAAATTTTATAAAATTTTTTTTTTAATAATTAATTTTTTTTTATTAAAATATATTTTATTTTTATAATTTTATAATTTTTTTTTAATATATATATTTTATAAATTTAATAAAACTTTAAAATATTTAAATAATTATTTTATAAAGTTTTTTATAAATTTATTTATTAATATTTAATTTATTAATAAATATATTATTTTAAAATTTTTTTTTTAATATTTTTAATAAAATTATATATTTATAATATTAATATATTAAAATTTAATAAAAATATAATTTTTTTTTAATAATTAATTAAATTATTTATTTATTATTATTAAAAATTATTTAATTTTATTTAAAATTAAATTAAATATTTTTAAATAATTTTTTAAAAATTATTATTTTTTTAATTATATATTTTAATATAATAAATTTAATTTTAATAATAAATATTATTATTATTAATTAATATTAAAATTTTTAAATTATTAAACTTTTAAATAAATATATAATATATTTATAAATAAATTATTTTATTTTTTTATTATTTATAAATAATATATTATTTATTATTATAAAAATTTAAATTTTTAATATTTATATTTTTAAAATTTTACTTTTATATTTAATATTTAAAAATTTTATAATATATAAATATTTAATTATTTAATTTATTATATTTAAATATTTTAATTTAAAATTTATTAAATAATAAAAAAATAATAAAATTTTAAAAATTATTTTTAAATAAATTATAATTATTATATATAATATAAATTTTATATATTTTTAAAAATTTTTTATTTTTTTTTTTATAATTATATTTTTATATTTTTTAATTTTAATATTTAAAAAAAATATTATTAAAATATTATTATTATTATTAAATTTAAATTTTTTTATAATTTTTTTAATATAAATAATATAATTAAAAATTATTATATATTTTTTATAATTATAAATTATATATATTTTAAAATATTAAATAATTAATTTTTAATATTTAAATTTTTATATATTATTTATATAATTAATAATTTTTTTTTTTTTATTTTTATTATTTTTATAATAAATTATAAAAATATTATTAATATAAATAAAAAAATAAATTAATTTATTTAATTAATAAAATAAATATAATTTTTTAAAAAAAAATTTTATTTTTATTTTTTTAAAAAAATTTTTAATTTTTTTATATTAAAATAAAAAAAAATTTTATAATTTATAAAAAATTTTAAAAAATTTAATATATTTATTTTTTTAATAAAATTTTTTTAAAAATTTAATAATTATTTTTTTTATTATATTTTTATTTATATAAATAAAAATATTTTTTATATTAAATTATAAAATTTTTATATTAAATTATATTATAATTATTATTATAATTTTAAATAATTTTATTATTAAAATAATTATATATATATTTTTTAAAAATTTTTAAAAAAATTTTTTAAAAATTTTTTTAAATTATAATTTTAAATTTATAAATTATTAATTTTATTATATTAATTTTATAATTAAATATTTATTTTATTAAAAATAATTTTTAAAAAATATTTTTTTTATTAATTATTTTTTAAACGTTTTTATTTATTATAATTTAAATTTTTTTTTAAATATTTTTTTTAAAATATTTTTTTAAAAAATAATAATTAAAATTTTTTTAATAATTTAATTTTAAAATAATAAAATTATTTTTATAAATTTTTATTTTATTAAAATATTATTTAAATTTTTTTAATTTTAATATAATTATTATTATAATAATATATATTAATATATATTTTTTATTTTTTTTATATATAATTTTTTAATAATTAAATAAAAAAATATTTAAAAAATTTATAAAATATTTATTATTTAATATAATAATTTTATTATTTATATAATAAATTATTATATATATTAATATTTTTAATTTATTTATTTTAAATTTTTAATTTAAATTATTTTTTTTTTATTTTTAATTTTTTTTAAATATAAATAAAAAAATTATTTTATTATATTTTTATTTAATTAATTTAATTATAAAATTATTTTATTAATAATTTAATAAAATTAAAATTATTTTTTTAATATATTTTTTTAAAATAAATTTTAATAATTTATTATTTTTATTAATAAAATTTTATATATTTTTATTAATATTTTTTATTTTTTTATTTATTTATTTTAATTAAAAAAATTTTTTAAAAATTATAAAATTTATATATTAATTTTTAATATTATTTTTAAATAATTAAATTAAAATTTTTTTAATTTTTTAAATAATATTAAATATTTTTATTTTTAAATTAAAATTTTTTAATTAATTTTTTAATTAATTTTTTATTTATAATATTAATTTATTTTTTTTAATAATATTAATATTTAATTTATAATATTTTTAAATTTAAAATTTTAATAAATTTAATAAATATATTATTATTTTATTTATA